TTATTAAAATAATATTTTTAATTATAAGTGATGGAAAGCAATAGCACATGAAAAGCAGCAGCAGAGCAAAGTGGTCGACCGGCCGGACTACCGGACGGTCGACCGGTTAGGCCAATTTTATACTTTTTTTTCTTCAATTTTACAGGGCAATCATGGACATCCATGGAGATGTCAGGAAAGAGATCCCTTCACACTTTTTATTAGATATAAGGGAGTTACAGTGACTCCCTAGAAATAAGAGTCACTGTAGCAACACTTATATTTGGAGGGTTGTTTAGGGGAGCTGGTGGAGGTGTATAAAGGGATTTCAATCCCTTAAAATAGGTAAGGAGTGGGTTTAGGGAGACTGTTAGGGATGTTCTAACATCAATTCAATCAAATTACAATTAATCATAAATTCTTAATTATTTCTTTTAATTCCTAACTTTTTAATCTAATTTTTAATTTAATTATATTTTAAATCATAATTAATTCTAAATCCTTAATCATTTATTGTAATTCCTAACATCTTAATCTAATTATATTTTAGATTACTTTTTAATAATATTTTAATTAACATCTTAATCTAATTTTAGGTTTGAAAAAGATGGGGTAAATTTGTCTTTTTATTGTGTTAATTTCACTTTATTTTTTCAAAAAATCAAGTCCATTAAAAAATAGTGTATGTGATTCATCTTCAGTTAATTTAGATGGCAACTATTTTGTACTGTTTCGTTTGGTTACAATTCTCATAAACTACTTTTAAATAGATTTTCCTTTGTCTTTATTGAACTTTTTTAGTATTTTAATCAATTTTTTTTAATTTTATTTTATGGAAACATCAAGATTAGATCCATTTAAAAAGTAAAAACGTTTAACTAAAATATGAAAAAAAAAAATCACTAAAAATAAATGAAAATTCGAACAAAAATTCACATAAATATTTGTTCAAATTTTCATTTATTTTTAATATTTTAGCCAATTTATTTTACTTTTTAGATGTATCTTCATTAAGTGCATCTAAAAAATACAAAGAATTAATTAAAATATAAAAAAAAAATCACTAAAAATAATGGGGTTTAAAAATAATGGTTTTTTTTTTTTTTTTTTTTTTTGGTCAACTCCCTCATTATAGATCTTTACTAGTTTAAGGAAAAAAAACAACTGCATGCTAGTTCCGGTCCTCTAATTTTTCGGAGACCTGTTTCAGACTAAAATATCCTTGCAATTGTGAACACAAGCAACACTGTTTCTAGATTTTGAATGTATTTCAAAATTTAAAAATTCAATAACTTTTGATCTAGATATTCATTTTTCATAAAATTTATATTTTTGAAATTTTTTTTATCAAGATCTATCAAATAAGATTAATGGTGAATATGAAATTTCAGAAAACAATTTGTGACATTTTCACTGAGTTTGCTATCCTCAGAGTTGGTGAAATTCAACTCACTTCTAAAACACAGTGAAATTTCACTGAGTTGTAAATAAAAATAAAATTTTGCTGACTAATTCAATGAATTTTACTATTAGTCAATGTCATTGTTATTGACTACAAATCAATGAATTTCTCTATTTCTAAAATAATAAGAGTTCTTAAATGAGAAGTAACCATTGGAAAAATTGAAAATTACAAAATTTGTGTACCTAATTCAATTTGAGGTACCATTAGAATAAAGGCACTATAATTTTTTTAAAAAAACTTTTTTAAAATTCTTTAAATTTTACTAATTTTCCTTAAATCCTAGTCAAATTGCAAGAAATCAATGAAGACTAAAGTCTAAATCAGTGAAATTTTCATTGACCAAAGCCTGGACAATTGAAAAGTCAGTGAAATTTCTCTAACTTTTAATTAGAAAATTCAATGAAAATTTAATTTTTTTCTTTTCAAAATTTCATATTTTAAATCTTATTTGATAGATCTCGACGAGATGATTTCAAAAATATAAATTTTACAAAATATGGAGTTTCATATCAAAAGTTACCCGCTTTTAAAGTTTTGAAATACATAAGTCCAAAATACTTGTCTACAATAAAGAAAGAGAAGGCACTGGATAATAGTTTAGAGTTAAAAGGATATTCTTGACATTTACTTAAAGTGTGTCTTATCTTCATGGAATTTTAAATTTTGGTTACTTTAACAAGCAAACAAATTATTGTTGTTCTTAAACTCTTAAAGCATCTCTAATAGTCTGTGTACTCCCATTATTTTTCTATTTTGGGAGTCAAATACAAAATAGTTCTTTTCAATAGTCTTCTTACTCAGTTCCTTATTTAAGGGAGTGAACTTTTGGCTTCTTACATTTAAGAAGGCTATAATCACTCCCTATATAAGAAGTATTGTTGGAAGAGAAAAGTTAGGGATCATGAAAAAACTTTCATAAAAATAATCATGAAAGATTTATAACTTTTGGATTAGCTTGATTAATGTGTCATGCTTTGTTTTAAATGTAATCCAAGAATCATAAATCTTTCATAATTATTTTCATGAATTTTTTTTCATAATAGTTGAAAAAGTGATTCTCCAAAACAAGAAAGACACTTTTTAACTTACATTTTGAAAGGAAACTAGAAAGAATTGTTGGAGATACTCTCACATAAGTATATAGACGGATCCCTACCTAATTTTTTCTCAAAATAAACGAATGCCCATGTAAAAATAATTTTTGAAAATTTAAAAAAATTAAACCAAACCCACACAACCAATGGATTAGACGGTTGTCACTCGTCTCTCAAGTACAAAAGTTAAAAGTTTAACTTTTGTCAGAAACAACAATTGGATGATATTTCTAATGCTTTTTAATTTCAATTTGTACACCTCGTTACCCGTTGTAACTTCTACTTAGTGACTCCCCTTCTCCACGCCCTAAAAGTAGGTTAAATATACATCTTAAATTTGAAAGAAAAAAAAAAAAAAAAGCACCGCCATCCATGTGAAGACATGTGGCAATTACTTGTTTTTCTTTGTTAGAGACACAAAGTCAATGACTTAACCCATAAAATAGTTAATAAAAACATAACAATTAAGTCAATATATATATTCGTTTCTGTCTGTTGCATGCCAGGCACGAGGAATTGGGATCCTCCCCTTCATTTCGGTCCTTTATTCCCTCTTTACAGGGCTTTCAGGCCCACTTTGAGGCTTAATTTTGATAATCCAAACTGTTCATATTTTTAGATTTATTCAGTATATCATATCTGTAAAAAATCAAGTTGATCGAATATCATAAAGTATGTGTTCAGAAAACTGTTTATTAAAAAATAGTTAGTAGTCCCAATTTTCTGAACGCATACTTTCTGATATCCAATCAACTTGATTTTTTACAGGTATAATATACTGAATAAATCTAAAAATATGAACGGTTCGGATTATCAAAATTGGGCCTCAAAGTGGACCCGAAAGCCCCTGTAAGAAGGGAATGAAGGAGGGACTCAAGGAGGAGATCTGAACTCAGGCACGAGAGTTGGAGATCCTTAATTCAATCTCTCTCTCTCTATGCTTTTCTCTATACTTGGCCTTCTCATGACTCAAGTACTTCCACCGACTTAAAAGATTTATATTATGCTAAATTTTAATCCAAACATCTAATATCTATTGACCTAAATAAAACCTCAACGAAATTAATTCTCACATTTTACAACTTTCGATTGCTCTTGCATTGTTGCATGTGATCTCTCAAGCTGTGGTATACCAAACATTATTGGCTTTATGAGTTTACATTTTTAGAGGTAGGGCCATGGTTAAACATCATTTCCTCATATATATATATATATATATATATGGTGCAAAAAATATATATTTTTTATTTTGGAAAAATTACAACAAAAAATCTCAAAATTTGACTCTTATAATAAAATAAATTTTAATTCTTTTAATTTGAAGGGCAAATTGCACTAATAGTCTTTGTATTTTACCTTTTGTGTCACTTTGGTCCCTATATTTTCAATTTGCTCAATTTTAACCTGTCATTTTTAATTTCGTTTCATTTTAGTCCAATTGTTAACACCAGTTAAAATTGTTGACAGAAAACAGACACGTGAGCCGCACATGACCCTTTTTCAAGGGCAATACGAACATTTCACTACCCTTTCCTTGTTTCACCATCTTCTTCCTCTTGGACTCTCTGCAACACAATCATCTACCATTGCTTTCCTCCATCACCAAAATCATCCATAGCCAATCCCAACATCAACACCATCCACCTCCATCACACCAAACCCAGTACCGTCTGCTATCTAGACTACCAAACTCACCACTCTGTCTTTTGCACATACCTGCCATATCCATTACCTCCTTCCAACCTCCTTCATCTACCCCTATCATCCTATCACCACCAAACAATAAATTATACAAAAATTATACCACTACAAGAAATTGCATTTTTCGCAATGCAACAAAATATGTTGCTAAAAGGGAAAATTCGTCGGCAAAGAGTTTTGCCGACACACCAAGCTACGTTGGCAACTCGTAGGCAAAAGTGAGTCGGCAAAAGTTTTTGCTGACGAAATTATCATTGTGTTGGTAAAAGTAATGCCTTTAGCGACGAATATAGTCGTCGATAAAAGCCTTCATCCATCGTCAGCAATTTACCTTGCGTCGGTAAAAGTCATTCAAATATGATGATTGTGTGGCACTTTTCACGACACAAATTTGCATGGGCAAAAAATATACTTTTAGCAACAAAATATGCGTTGACAAAAGTATACTTTTGGTAATACATTTACGTCGGTAAATGTTGTCATTTGCCTACGATTTGTTTGTCGATAAAACTTCACTTTTGGCAACGACAAATTAGCATTGGCAAAAAATACACTTTTAGCAACACAATATGAGTGGGCAAAAGTAAACTTTTGACAACACATTTACGTCAGTAAATATTGCCATTTGCCGACGATTTGTTTGTCGATAAAGGTTTACTTTTGGCAACGACAAATTGACATTAGCAAAAAATATACTTCTAGCAACACAATATGAGTGGGAGAAAATAAACTTTTGGCGACACATTTACTATCAAAAATAATTGAAAATAATTTATATATTTTTATAAGATTTACAGATTTACAAGAGGCATCCCTCAGGCACCACTATTACAAACTAATAACATTGATATGAAATCACCTAAAGTTGATGTGCAAGCGAAAAAAACACTACTAATACTGCTTTTAGAAGCAATGTATAAAACCCAAAAGGGTAAAGGCACTAAAATATCCAAATACATCCAAATTGTGAACCCACATTAGAAACAACAGATAATAAAATGAAAACATGAAACTAACAAAGGCAAAATGACATGAAAATCACCCACAAACTTATCCAACAGACAAACATCTAGTAGCAGCCACCTCATAGCAACATTGCAGCAACAACAGCCCAGCAAGCATTAGTCACGAGGGCGGCAGCAACAGCAAACCAGCAGTAACAAACCAGCAGTTGCAGCAGACCAACAAGCAACAACCATCAACCACCAGCAAAAAGGAGGATCTGGTAGCAGTCTATATTGATTAATGACAAGTTTAAAACAAAGTCCATTAGCTTTTTTATTGATCTGGAAGCAGTCTCTGTGTGTGTGTGTGTGTGTGTGTGTGAATTAACAAATACGCAAGCGCAAGTACTGGCCAAAACATAAAGCTTTTACCATCATCCGGAAAAAAATAAAATAAAATAAAAATCTTTGATTTCCAACTATACTAAAACAATCGGTAGCAGTAGATCCAATGCATTCTACACCCCAGTGAAAAAAAATGTTGTCCATGTTACAAATCATTCACTTGCAACAATGGCAATAATTTACACAAGGCAAACTAATTTCATATTCTCTACTAATATTCAGATAAGGTCCATTTCAATGATTTCTGATATGGAAGGCACATGCATTATCTCTATGATATGTACAGAGGTTTCAGATTCTCTGTAGTCAGACAACAATATGATGATATTACAATACAAAACTCCTAATCATTATCAAGTTCACATCATTCAATAATTTGGCAACAAGAAGAAAACAAATAAAATGATTGCATATTCACTAAGAAACATAAACTTAAAAACTATAGGTAAGAGGCAACCATACTAGTGATCAATAAGTAAAAAGTGACACGCACAATGAGCTACAAGAGGACCTGTCCAACTTTGAGAGGACCGTATTCGCTGGCTTCTGAAATGCTCTCACTACTGGCATTCCATCACCATCCTCACCCCCGACCCTCCATGACCGGTATTTTTTCCTCTGAGGCTTCCTGTGCTGTTTATGAGATGCATTTTCACGCTTTTTCTTCACAGGGACCTTCCCAGAACATAATCCATTAGCCATGTCAAATGAATTCAAATAATTCAATACATGCTCTAAATTGGGTGGGCTTTCTTCATCTTCACTGCTTGGAGGGTTTTCGATATCAGATGAATCTGATTCATGCATCTCAGATGAGCTTGGTGCATCTGCAACCTCCTGGCCAGCTTCATTATTTGACATTCTTGGGGGGCATTTCAAAGTGAGGCAGCTTCCCATCAATGTAATCCTTCAAGAACAACACAAAGTTGTGAAGCATACTGGTGAAATAGTGTGAAAGCATTTGATTGGTTCATCTGAAATAGAAGCATATTACCTAGGTGACCAATCCACCATTGCTCATGCATGTAGATATCCTTGGTTCTCCCTGTAGTGGTGTTTGAGTTTCCACACTGGATTCGTTTGGTATATTCAAGGAATGCACTGTGTGGGTCGGCTGTAATTCTTTGGAAACACTCGCTTTTGTAAATGGCAACCTTGAAGCAAGTGTTTAACCCAAATCGATTGCACTGTTCGCAGAACCAAAGAGTTTCAGGTACAAATCATTAACCACCATGATAAAGGTATTCATGAAAAAACTATAACCATCATTTGTTATTTTGCCATGTAAGTGATTAACATGAACTTCATCCAAATGGGGCTTCACATAAAATTTCATAAACAATTGCCCAATTAAGATTAAAGTACTCAAAAGGAATGGAATTCTTAGTTCAATAAGCTAAAAAGCTTCTCTTAGAGAGGCTTCAATTCGATACTCAGCTTCGTAGCTTTCTGTTTGAATCAATTTTGAAGCCATGGTGTTGTCCTCTTTGTTTTTTAGTGGTAGTCTTGTTTTGTTCTGTTTGGGTCTTTTTTATTCTCTGTTCCTTTCTCTTTTCCTCTTTGCTTAGTTCTCTTATTGGCAGATCCAAAAAAATAAAAAATAAAAATAGATCATTTAATCACCAGAGGGAAACTAAATTTGTCAAAATCAAATCAAATATGAAAGGGGGAAACAAAATGAGAAACATTTACCAAAGGTCCAAAACACTAAATATTTTAGATGCAGTTAGCCCCAAACTAAGTATAATAAATAATATTCTCTACTATTCCAAATATTATATCAACATAGTTGTGGATTTATAATCCTTGGGAAATTTAAGTATTTGTTAAGCAACAAGCCCACTTCCTGTGATTATGCATGTAGTGCTAATAGCTAATGCCATTCTTCATAAAATTACCTGGCTATGGCACAACGAATTTGTCCAGGTCAACAACCAGCAGATTGGGTTGCAAAGATTGTGAAGATTCAAATAAAAAACACTTCATGAGGAAATGCATCTGTCACGTAAGCCTACATAATTGAATCCGTTACTGCTAATGTCTTTGAGCAAATAACAAGAGAATCTCTGAAGGAAAGAATGTTATAATTAGACAGTTATGAAATTCTCACATTTAAAGGCAAAAGCATCATTGCATTGGTATTTTCATCTCCATTTTCTCAGTTGAATTCTATTAGCAACACAGAGTACATACAATTTGCTGTCTAATGGTGAATTATGTGAGGAGGTGCTTGCCACTCTGAATTGTTCTCTATGAGTATCATTCAATCAAAAAAGTTTCTTAAACAATTAGACTGTTTTAGGTTATTGATTAATGAACTTGTTCAAACCAATATGGAGACTGGACAAGGCCCCAATTTGAAAAAATAAAAAATAAAAATAATCAGCCCCCTTGAATATTATTTATAATAGCGTGCATAAATTAAGAAAAAATAAGAGTTTTTTCTTAATATTTTCCCCCTATTTGGGAGAAGCTTTGTCTAAAATCAGTGCCAATACAAACAAAATCAAGCAAGATCCCTTTGGAATTATTAGGTTCATGCTTTGTTGTAAAGATCTGTATATGACTGAACCAGCAAGTAGAAAACTAATATTGTTTTGCTGAGCAATCGATCAAAAAGTAGAAGAATAAGATGAGATTGAGAATTTACTACTAAAGGGAAATAGTTATTTCAAGTGGACCTTGATTGGTATTTAGCCTTGACTAATCACCCCAAAAATAAAGCAAAAATAAAAAAATTTAGAAATCATATTCAAAGTTAATGTAGCAGAAAAGTGTTTGATCATTCATGGGTATAATTGGGAGGACCTCAAACAAGAATCAAACAAAGTCCCCTGAAATGGTTAATTATACTGCTTTCAAATCATTGTCAGTGATTTGCCCATTATTTGTTAGCATCCACTTCATTTCTCTAAATAGCAAAGAGGACCACTTGAAGAGAATCATCCACATGGGATTTGTGAGGTGTGTCGGGCAAATTCAATCCTCTATTGCTACTGCTAATGTCTTTGAGTAGATTCAGAGGATATCTGCTAGGTTAAGACAGTATGGAAAGATTGAAGGAAAGAATGTGTTTTATTGGTTTCAGAACCATAAAGCTCGAGAGAAGTAAAAGAAGAGGTTCACCACTGATATCCCCATGGAGAGAAGTGGTGTTGTTGGAAATGGAGGAGGAGGAGGAGGTTGGAAAAGTAAACAAGAAAATAACTAGGGATGTGAACAAAAGAAAAAATAATGTACCGAAGAACGAAGAAACTATCCCCACACATCAGACCTAAAGACCGATCTTTCTTCTGCCACTACCCATCCCCTATCACATTACATACTTAGGTAGAATATTGAACAATGGGCATAAACAAAATGCTTTTGTAGACGTACTTACAATATGTATATATTTATTGCTTTACATTTGTCACTTCGTTCAAATTATGCTAAAGACTAAGCTGGTTTTTCTATTTTTAATGTGGATAAATTGATAGTTTTATGAAGAACTTAAGTTTAGGTCAAGCAGTTGAGATCCTTGGGTTTTATTTATTTATTTTTTTTCAAACATTCAAGTGGTTATACTCCGTAATTTCCAAGAAATAAATTGGGGGAGATTCTAAGTTTGAATTTATGGCGAAGCATCGAATGTTTATTAGTAGTAATTTAACTTACTACTAACTAATGAACTAACCAGCTAATTTTGACACCCGAAAAAAAAAAATGTACTTTGATATTTTTAATTTTTTTTTAATATTAGTTTGGTGGTGTGTGTGATTTTGCAATAGTTCCATCGCCATCATCATCTTCATCACCAGGAATGCTTGCTGTAGGGCAGATGGGTAGTTATGGTGGGTATGGATCTGTGACTATGGAGAAAAGTTTTAGGGTAAGTTACACTATACTATAATACTCTCTAATACTAACTGAATACAGGTTGCCGTCATTATGTAGTTGGGCAGCCAGTGAACACAAAATCATGGTCTAGTTATTGTCTTCCTCTCTCAACCTTTACAATTTCCTTCTTTGGCAAAAAGCCAACATGAAATTTGTATATCTAGCGCAGGTTATATGCATCATTAAAATAAAACTTTGACTCTCCAAACAATTATAAAAGGAGAGACAACCTATACATTTTCTTCACTTGATTCCTTCAAAACAGCTATTAAAAGAAGCCTTTTAGTTTTGTTGTTTGTTGTTGCAGTAACACTAGAGGGTAAGGTTTAATAAACTTCATATCAGCAGGATTGCTCCATTTTACACTAGAGGGTAAGAGTCTCTGTCTCATTCTACTTGTTTCTTCCAACCAGGACTACTCCATATCAGCAGGATGTAGTGGTGGTGGATCTATAGGCCACAATCTGTGGGTTGGTGCAGACCTATATTCTTCATCATACCCAATGGTGAACAAATACCAACCAGTGGCCCAATTTAAGAATGCTCTTAATTAGAGGTATAGATTACAAGGATGAGTGCACTGTTGCATTAGTTTGCTCGTGGAAGATAAGGAGTTCCATTATGCATAAAGACTACTATATTATTCTAATTTGTTAACCACAAGTCTAACAGATATCTTAATACAGTTTTCAACGTTCATATAATATTCAAATTCATTATAGGCTACGAACATATAATACAAATGGCAAAATATAGCATGCATACATAGTCTAGTCTAAAAATAAGAATATACTAGTTGTTACCTTCCCTTCAAGATGCAAGCCTGACAGGTGCAACTTCACCCACATTCAGCAACCCATTCTCTTACAGCAAGTATTGCACTCATATCATCTGCAGTTCAAAAATTCATCCCCAACTCCAAAACCTGCATTTAAAGATTTGTAATGAATCAGACAGATCCTTCAAGGTTGTCACTCCCGAAGTATTTATATCTGTCAATTTATTACTCCTAGATTCTAGTATCCGAGTGGCCTAAGAGAAAACAATGTAAGATTAACAAAATTAACTAACAAGTTTAACATATGAAAGAGACAACAGCTTTCAGTTCATACGTCATATTTACTAGCAACAAATGAAGAGACATGTTCCTCCATGCATCCCCATTGTTGCTGTTGTTGAGAAACTGACCCCAAGATGGTCTTGTGCAGCCTTTTAAGCTCTGATCAAGCTGTGAACCAAAATTCAAAAGCAGCCCTTGGTTTTCTGCTTCTAATTTATTTTTCTGATCTGTATAACTTTTAATTTTAGTGAGTGCCTGAAAGTAATGCAGCTAAAGCACAAGAAAGAAGCACATTAACGCATGTAAGGACATACAAGTTCGAAAAATTTGTGCTTAGTAGTTATGCTAGAAATTGAACTATGTAATTTGATTAGAACATCCTAGGATAGGGTGTTTGTTCATCGATGTCATGACCTTGTGATCTCCAAAGCAACAAAATAATGTTACAATATTCTAGTGTCACTTAAAGCTATTTCTTGTTAACCATGGAACCTCACTACTCAATTGTTTACTCCTAGCCAAGGGCTTTTTAGCCCAATGGTATTTACCCCAGCACTCTTATTTTAGTTTGGATGTTCAAACCTCACCTTTTTAGCTCCTATCTATTCCACCCAGGACCACCACCACTCAGCGACTGGCTCTTTCCCAATACCATTAAGAGTAAGCTTTGGTAAAGAAAACCAGGTCCACTATTTGTTGCCTGCAAAGAAAATTTACAAGGTAAGAAAACTTCATCATCAGTCTGTTAAAAAATACTGTCAATTGCAGTTGTAGGTAGTTGTACTTGTTTGCATAGAAAGCTTTGGTAAAGAGGAGTCATTAAAATCCAACATTCAAATCAGAAATTAAAAGAAAAAAAACCTGGATAAAGGATGATTACATCTGAATCAGTGATCAGTCATGCAGTGTGTCAACTAGAAACTACAGGTTTAGTGGAAAACAATTTACCTCATACATAATGTCACTAGCCGCAGCTTCAGAATGCAAAGGCGATGGAAGTGAGTAGACTATCGCCTTCAAGATGGTTTTTTCCCTTTCCTTGTTTGTCTCCATTAATGCCCTCTCTAACAATGCTTTTGCCTCTGGATTAAGCTCGGTAATGAACTTTAATGGTGATGGCCATATGAGAGGATCTGGAGCTGACGGGTTCAATAATGCTGCACATGCTGCATGCTTATGCCTCAAAGCAACCATGTAAGGTATCCTCCTGCCAAGATATCAGCTGGTAACAATCGTTTCATTCACAAAACATTCGAAGCTAATGTCTCCACTCATTTAAAATACAAATAGAGCAAACTTCCCATAATATTGGAAGTATTAAAAACAAAAAAGTAGCAAAAAAAAATTTCAAGTGAAACTATGTCAAAAGTTCAGTGGAACTCCAGTGGTGATTGCCAAAAGGAAAATGTCAAAATGTCATTTTTTTAGCAATGTTGTTCCAATGGTGCAAATGCCATTTTGGCACATCTAGATCATTGCTTAATTCTGTCCAATGGATGTCTCACATCCAGACCATTGGATCAAAACCCTCTCTTGGGTAAGTTGAGTTGGCACAAATGATGCACAAGATTTGGAAATATAAGTTTTTAACAGACCTTTTGGCAGGCCACTAGAGAGGATTTCTTAGGTGCAGGCACCATATAATTTGGCAATAGCAACCATTATACAAGCCCACTGAAGTTGCTCTTTCTTAGGTGTCAACCATATCTTTTGTTAAACCATACTTGTCAAAGCCTCAATCCAAATTCTTTAATGCCATCATGTCATCGTCAACAATCTCAATAGGAACCAATTACTCTCGATTTTCGTTATGATTGAGCATGAAGGCTAATATTGTTTAACCACACTAGAAATACGTAGATTGTAGCACATTCAACTCCATAGAAAGGGAATAACAAGGGGGTTCAGACACTGCTATAACATTAATTCCATATTGAGTACTCAAAACTAATTTCAGCATCAAAGACCTTGAAATCACCTACTCCGTATGTCAGTGGATCTGGTCTGCATCAATTATCATATAGTTCTTTCTAAAGTCAGGAAAGAAAGAAAAACTAAAAAAATTAAAAATTAAAAATAAAAAGTTTACCCAGATGAATCTCTATGAAGTCTATCAGCCCCCCAAGCAAGTAATTCCCGAACACAATCCAATGAACCCCCACAAACTGCAAAATGAAGTGATATAATCCCAGGGAAACTGCAAACAGGACTCTTATAAATATTAATGACAAATTACGAGTGCTATGACATTACACTAGAAAACCTTCAATAAGAGAGTTTTACCCATATCCTCTAGAAGATGCACAAACAAGAGCCCCACTGTCTAACAACATATGAACGCACCCCGGCCATCGTTGTCGGACTGCCAAGTGCAATTGGGTTGCTCCATTTTTATCTCTTATATTCACAAACCTTGCAAATTCCCTGCCATCAACTCCAAATCAAACCAAACAAAACAACCACAGCTTTAGCAACTTCATGGATATTCTCTACACACAAGCATATATGAGTGTGTGTGTAGAGAGAGAGAGAGAGAGGGTCACCAGGAATGTGCAACAGAGGTGGAAAGGGTAGCAGAAAGAATAGCTTGTAGGCAATCTAGATGGCCATAGAAAGCAGCATAATGCAAACAGGTTTTTCCATGGAGTGAATCAAACATCAAAATCTAATGAAATTTCATACACAACCAATGATCAATTTATCTTCTACAATTCAACCAATGATAGTATTTTGTTTGCATAAAAAACAAGTATTGCAAGTGGGGGCGACATAGGCTAGCGGTAAACCAGGCCCCTACCGCACAACCACCACATACTGCCAGCCATATATGTCTAAGGGCGGGCCCAAATTGCTAATGGTAGGGACAGAGAATAAGCACAGAATCAAAAAGTGAACAAAGACACCTCTCTACCTCTAATCTAATCTAATCTTACAATGAGGAAAATGACAGTAACTACCAAAAATAATTGTCGAGACAATAAAAGAGATGTGTGCGGTGTGGAGGGCTCACTCCAATTGATTATATCTTCCTGTTATTTTGTGATGGTAATGAAACGGGATGATTCAAGATGCTTCACAGGGCTCACACTCTATTGTCAGCAATTGCACCCATGATTGCAAAAATTTCACAATGTGAATTGTAAGGAGTAATCATGACAACCAAAATAAATATTAAAAAATTAGAAGCACATCTGGTTATTTATAGTCACATAACAATAATCAAATTATTTATTTAAACATTGCCACAAAATCTTTTTTTGTATGAAATGGGGCTATAACTTAATTCTCATTATCTCAAAGAAGTTCGAGGCAAATGAACCCAAAAAAAAAAAAAAACTCATTTTGATATGAATGATCATCAGAGAAGTGATGAACCAAAATAGAGCCAGCATATTCAAATAGTTATCTTGCCCAACCAAATTGCCCATTTACAAGTTTATTTACTTTCATTACAAATCTTTGAGGGGCCAAGCTGTGTGAGAACATGTCTGTTATCAAATAGAATTGCAATCCACGAAAAATAATTTTAGTTTAGGTAATGGTCATAGAGCAACTGCAAAATATGCAATGGCCTTAAATAGGTCTAAATTCCATGAATTTGGCTGGGAAATTCATGACACGTCTTCATGAATAATTTGTAAGATTTTAATTTATCATAATCAAATCTTTCAAAGTCTATTACAAACAATAATTTACCATTTGTATTGCTAATCAGTGCTTGTTCATTGTTCAATAATTGCATCTACTAGCTTTTCAATTTCATTAATAAGTGCTTGTTCATTCAAGCACTTAGTGCCAAACAATCAGGTTAACAAAGTGATTTTATTTATTTATTTATTTTTTTTTTTTTGTAGGATACATCTCAGTTTTTTACCTTTAGCATCTTCTTTGCCTTCTCAATTTCAAGATGAAATGGATGGCTTGTAACAAAACCCCCTTCCATATTTCTTCTTTTGGGATGGTGACTTTCAACTTCACCATCAATATGTTAATCGGTTATGACTGAATATTTGTTCTAGCAATAATCTCTTGTCTCTTCACTTTATTTATTTGTTTTTAATTTGCCTATAATTTTCTGTTAACACCAACCAGCTTTTTGACTTCGAATGAATAGATATAAATAAAATATATTATTCTATATTAAATATTTGTATATAAATTCTATTGGTACATTATAGTATTACCTTACCTGATTTTCTCTCAGTGATGTCAATTTCCAACTAGCCAAACAAACAGGCTTTGTCAAACGGGCCTGGTGATTCTTCATGTTTATGGTCCTACGATGTACAGTCTGATATAACATCATCTTTGAGGAGAACAAGTATATTCCTACAGGCTAAAGCATATTACTCACTAAAAATAGATCTAAAAGACATGAAAGGCAATTGTAAAGAAAGGAAATGACAGAGACAAACACTAAAAAGCCTTTTGCAGAGACAAACATGATATATATCAACTCAGAGAATAACAATTCCTGCTGGTCCTATTGTGAAAGTTTTGCACCATCGTTATCTTTACCAAAACACAAATGACAAAAATGCCTAATATATGGTTGGTCTAAATGAGAAATTTCAACGAATTACGAAAAAAATTTCTTAGAGGAGGTGGAAGGCCCCATGATCACATTGAAAGTCTATGATCCGTTTATATCTAAAATACACTTGACTACTACTGCAACCCGCATTACAACACGGTAATGACTGTTAATGAAAAGGTCTATTGTCGTGTTCACATTTTAATTTTTTTGAATTCATTGATCACAGCCCTATCACAGGTTCACCATGAATTTCCATAAAAGCAACATTTCATTTTATCAAAGTGAACAATTTTAGGGAGGTGGTTGGAGGTTTGGCAGTGACGGCTACAGGGCTAAAGTTATCCAGATTTAACTAAAAGATAAAATAGCAGGGAAATTGCATAACATGTCACAAAAAATACAAAAAATAGTAACTTTTTCTTATAATGTGTGCACTTTGTAAATCAATTAAGAACATTGAGACATCATTTAAGTGGCTAGTATAAAACATTTGTTTTATATTGACATAATGTTATAAAAAAGTACAACCTTTTTTTAAAAGCACATTAGACCTTTATACAGTAACAGAAAAATGTTATACAGCTCAACCACCCTTTTTCTACTCATTTTCTACCTACAAACCAATACAAACTAAAAATGCATCGATAGGTAATATTAACTCAAACTGTCTGATCTAATGCATGTATTATTCTTTTGGTTTATTCTGCAGAATTTTACAATACCTCTACAATTTTAATTTTTTTCTTGGGGGTAATGTTTTTTTTTGGGCTTGCCATGCCATTTATCACTTCCTTTACAATGTAACAAGCAACCTGAAAAAAACCACCAAAAAAAAAAAGAAGAAAAAGATGCACACAAAAGAACATGCTCTTTAATCTTTATGATGACTACAATTTAACATGTCACATTTTATAATTTTTCAACTTCTCTTCACAAATTGCCCCTGCAAAAAAGTGAAGAAATGATATTGAAAAGAAAAACACTATCAAAATCATTTGCAATAGCTAAAACATTTAAACATGATAGATTAATTACATATATATATAATGTTTATTTACCTTCATACGAGGACGCTTCTCTGCGTTGATCTTTCAAACTTCATAACGGATACCTTTGAAGAAAAGCCAGTTCTGCCTCATCTCCTTGTACCTCAACACACTAGCTTCTCTTTTCCCTAACTTCCACTCCTCTCCTCCTCCACCTTGAAATACTGCTTCCTCTTTTACCTTGATATTATTGCCACCATCACCACAGCCATTGCTAATGCTATATTCTGGAACTGTCCACAACCCTCCATTACTTCCCCAACCATCCTTCAACCCCTATAATTCTTTTAATTTTCCTCCAAAGATCAAAATGGTGGTACATATAATAGCTTTACACATTCACCAAAACATGAACATTATTAGACAAGTTTAATACAAATTTTAATGAAACAATTAAAGCTGTAATAGATGGGTTAGTAAATCATCTAAAGCCGCTACATGTATATATACATATATATTTTAGGGGGAAACTGAAATATTTCATGATTTTCAAAAATCATGGATTTTCAAAATAAGGGGTACTAAATAATATATTTATAAATGCTTTAAAAATGATCACAAAGCAAGGGACAGACATTTCAGGAAATGTTCTCTTACAGAGTACAACAGATCAAAATACAAAATGAGGGCATTGATATACAGATTTTATTCTAAACCTAATTCAATCAAATACCTATAAAAGTTACTTTGATTTCATATCAGTAGGTTAATCACTACATATAGCTTACCGACAGTGGCCTTTCGAACAGCAAAATCACATGGACATCAAAGACAGATCGAAGAAAACCAGATTAATAATAAAAAACATAGATCCACAACATATGAGAGAATCGATTTGCGCAAGAGACAAATAGAGAACTATAAGTTTTTTTAGTCGAATCTTCACCTGGTCTCGCACATCAGCAGCAAACGGTGGAAACCTGATAATCAACAAACGTCTATGCGGATGTGCGATTGTAAGGGTAGGGACCTACGGATTATGAGAGAAGGCTGTGCAAGATGGAAAATCGGGTAGAGTGATGAGGGGGTTTGTTACCTATCCTGGGGGAAAAAAGAGGGAATTTTGAGAGGGAACATTCACACCGCCTGAATAAGCAGATCACCAAAAAAAAAATGAGGACAATAAAAACAATTTTTAGATTTTTTTTTGGATTACTCAAATTATTTCAATTCAAACAGTAAGCCTTCATCCACAGGCATTCAAATAGTTTATAGCACTTAAGCAATTAGCCTCATGGTACGCATGCTTTGACATGGCATCAATCACACGCATGCGATATGCTAAAGCGAGTAAAGGCTCACCTAGTACTCCAAGCCAAAAAGAAAATGAGTAAAAAAAATGTATGATTCCTAACTATGCAATATGACTAATGTTATGCATACAAAAATGCAACTAATAGGCTCGACTACTTAACATGGCATATGAAACAATTTTGATAGCATGCGGTCTAGGTACGTATTCAAAGAAGCGTTTTTAAACTAACAATGCGAGTTAGACTGATGAACCGAGCCACGGTGCATGCACTACAAATGGATGCAAACATGAAGTATGCTAAACAAAACATGATGTTCCTAAACTAACCATCATAAGCTAGTAAATAAAAGGGAGAAAGACGTGGGGTTGGAAGACATACACATTATTACATTGCGCTCTCACGAGGGAGAGTCTGAATGAACTAACTAGCTAACTAATTAACTATAACTAAAGCTAAACTAATTATTACAAAACAAATTAAATAAATAGCTAAACTACTTAACTAATTATTACAACAAATGAATTAACTATTTGTGCGTACCGGATTCCGCACTAGATGAAAGTGGATCGGGGCTCCGCACTTGGTTGGACTATCCAGGAACTGAAGTTCCTGCGACAAGAGGCACCGTTAGAGCTACCCGGCCGGGGTTGGCCAGATGACCCCTCCGGTGTGGGAATTAGTGATCGGAGAAGGGAGTTGAGTATGGTTTTGCTTGGAATAGTTCAGTTCTCTTCAGTTGCCTTCAATGTGAAGTTCATGTAGTATATATATGTTGTTCCTTGCTTGCTTCTCAAGGTGGATTCATGGAGCTTGGATGCTGCCAAGTGTCCTTTTGTGGGGGACCACCTGTTAGTTGCCAATAAATGCATATACTCATTGTAGTCATTCTGATAACAAACCACATTCCTTTGGCTCAACAACTTCCGTGATTCTAGGTGAAGGGAACCAGCTGAGGTGGCAACCTGCACATGCACACATTCACAACTTCCCCATTTCCTTGCAAGGTTTCCTCAACTCGGTACCGATGTTCCTCAGCTCGGCATCATTATGCCTTTTCTCAGCCTTTTACAGGATCACTCATGGAGATGGGCTTGTCCATTTAGGTAACTTGGCATGGGTTTGGCCTATTTTTTGTTCGGCCCGTAGATTCAGTCTCGCAGCTCGGCCCAGCCCAGCACCACGGCTGGACTGGCCTTTTCACTGCGAGTTGGACCCAAGTGCTTGAGGACTTGGGTTGACTAATGGTCATGAAGTTGGGCTTAATTGGTTTGGCCATATACTCATCCAACCCACTTGGATTTGGACTTCAGTGGATTGGACCGGCCCAAGGCTTGGACCTGACCCATTCACGTATAGCCCTTCATTTGCCCCCTAGCTCGCGCTAAGGTTCCCCTTGGGGGGAGCTATTGTTTTGCTTCCCAAGCGTCGCGTCGTTTCGGTTTTCCTCAGCTCGACCTTGGTGACGGTTCAATCCTGACACACAATTCCTGCATGCGTCCTTTCATAATGACATGTGGCGATGTGAGATTGGTGTGCAGAGATAGTGTGTCGATCCCATACTAAAGGTCGTGCTCCGTGTACCTGCGCGCCGGCTAGTGCAATTAATGCTCTGGCTGTCAATTCAAATCCCTTCATCTGCTTTTTCGTTCCTCTAGAGAGTTTCAAAGAGAGAGAAAGGACTCTTCCTATTCCTCTGAACCAGTCTCGTTGGTGCTCTGCTCAGACTTTTTCACCGTTGATCTTGCTCTGCTACCACTGTTCTAATCTCTGTAAGTCCTCTTGCGACTCTTCTTTTTTTGCCTCTTTTTGCCTTAATCATCTTGTTTGGTTTACTCGCTGTCTGTATTCCATACTCTGTTATCTAAGTCCTACCTCTGTCCCATTGGGTTTGTTGAATGAGGAAATTGCGTTCACTGGTTGATACCCCCGAAGCCATGGCTATGTTCCGCCTGGACTATAATATTCTCAATGACGTTACCCTCTCGTTGGCGAAAGTAAACGCCAAGCGTATGGGCACAAGGAATACCATTGCTTTTCCCATCGCGGCCGTAGTCGAGGAAGGGGTTCGGTTCCCTCTTGACCCGTTGGTACGCCGGTTTCTGCATCAAGTCCAACTAACTCCAATACAAGTATCTGTGAACCTTTTCTGTGTTGTTTGCGGTGTCTCTGCCCTCAATAGACGATTGGGTTTGAACCTTGGCATATGGGATATCTTAGGTTGTTATACTCTTTCTCATAACAAAGACCACAGCACATATTACTTGCGTGTTCGCTCATTTGATTGCCATTTGGTCACCGGGTTACCTGATTCGGATAAACACAATGATGATTTCCTTCAAGTCGGTGGAAACTGGGAGTTCCCCACCGGTATTGAGTTTCAGTCTGAGCGGATGCCCCAGAAAGACGGCTACCTAGGTTCGGGTCTTCCCTTCTAATGCCTTTTGTATTCCTTACATTATTTTGGGTATTGCTCTGATGTGTCACTTCTTTTTTGCAAAGTCCTCTCACTTCCAACGAAGCCCGAACCGAGAGAATGCTGAAGCCATAAAAGCTGCCCTGAGGTATAAAAAGAGATCTGTACCTGAGTTATTGGACTACCAGTCTACTTACCGCTCCATTATTCCAAAGAAGGCGAGGCTCGCCGCTACCCTTCTGGATTCCGATACCGAGATTGACACATCTCTCACTCCTTTGGTCACAAGTCGTCGCAGGAGTCAAGGTGCACTTTCCGAAAGAGCGCCTTCCCCTACCCCCAGTTTCGCAGGGAGCGGGTCTGTGGCGAAGAGAAGGGTGTTGGTAGATTTAGAGGCCGAGGCCTTCGGAGCCTCCGATGCTTTGCAAACCCCTCTGGAGAAGACCGAGGTGAAGAGCCTCATGGAGGTGAAGATGGAGGTTGGAGCTTCTGGAACCCCTGCGACTGCGGCCGAGCCCTCAACTTCAATCGCTGCGCGAGTAAAAAAGAGGAGAAGATAGACTGGCAAAGTAGTGGTGGGGAAAGCTTCTGAGGATCCTACTGAGGATGATGCTTTTGAGAAATGGGAGCCGCCAATATCGCATGAAGGCAGGCCTATTTCCACTTCTGATTCAGTTGTCGCTTCACAAGATTTTGCTTTTGATTTGACTAAGTTTTTGTTGATGCCAGTTGATATGGTCGACCACAATGGGCCCCATGATATTCCGATCCTGAAGGGGACCCTTCAGATGATGACCGCTGTAAGTGTTTCCTGTTTTACTTGTCTTTACTGTTGCGTTGCTGTCTTCCTTTTTTTTAGTTTTTTGTTGTCCTTTGCAGTGTATCCAGAGAATGCATCTGTCTATTACTCGTGCTGAAGAGCTAGAAAGGGCCGTGCTGGAGGCCACAATGAACGCTGAAAGACTGACGGTAAGCTTGGAGACAGAGAAAGAGGGACGCCGAACTGCGGAGAGGGAAGCATTTCGTTAAAACAAGATTGTCGCTTCAGTTGAAAAATCAAAGGAGGCTGCTATTAGGACACAGGCTCAACTCGAGGGAAAAGTGGTCGAACTGGAGGCTGTTATTGTTGTGATGGCTGCCGAGCGTTCTGCGCTGGAAGCCAAACACTGGCAACAGGGTTGGGACAAAGCTGGGGCTGCCTATAAGGAAGAGGTGCTAGTGCTGAGAGATAAGCTCTTTGTAAAGGGTTGGACAAGTGCCTTGGCTGCTGCGTTGGTTCCTGAAGGCTCTTCCCTGTTTCAGGGTGTCCCTGTTCCTTCGAGATCCTTGGGTTTGAAGACTGTTTCCACCCCTGCTGTTCTGCCGGCCGAAGTTTCCTCAGAAGCTGATTCCACAAACAAGACCCAGGACAAGAATGTTGCCACTGAAACGGTGGATGTTGAAGGGATTGAAGCCCCAGAGATTGAAGCCACGGGAGATGTGGTTAAGGAGGCTTCTACTTCTCAGGAAGTTAGAGCTTCCTCTACTTTTCCCCCCGCAGATGGCCTGGACAAAATTGCTGATGCTGCTCCTGAGTTACCCGTTGTTGATAAAAATTGATGTTGAAAGAATTTGAACTTTTTTTTGCTTTGATGTACTGTGGCTCGGTCTCCATGACGAGTTTTCTTTCTGCATTTGCCAAGACAATTTTTTTTTTCTTTTCTTTGTTGCTGGTTATGAGGCCATCTGTGTTTTTTGTTGGATGATAGAATTTTCTTTTTGAACTTGCAATCTGATGTTGTTTGGCTTATATGTTTGAATGTTTCCTATACTGCTTGTCCCCGGCCAAGCACTGTTGGGACCTCGAGGCCAAATAGATGCTCGGTCTGGTTCTGTATTGCCTTTAAATGGATGTTCTGTCTGATTCTGTGCTGCTTGCCCCCAGCCGAGCATTGTTGGGGCCTCGGGGCCGAACTGATGCTTGGTGTGGCTAACAGATGTGTGATATGGCGATGCTGGAGTTCGTAAGTGGGTCTTACTTAGGTCCAGGTTGGTTTTCAAAGAAAACAATTGTTTGCCCCCACCTGGAGCTAAGTAAGATCGGCACTAAAGATTATGCTCTGAGGTAGAACTGCTGAAGTCTGTTTCAACTTTGATAGCATAAGAGCGCCTAAACGGAGTAAAGGCATGAAAAGGTGTCTTATTTAGGTCCAGCTTGGTTTGAAAAAACAATCGTTTGCCCCCAGCTGGAGTTGAGCAAGACTACTGCTGGAGGCCTGCTCCTGGCTGAACTTGGCCAAGTTTGTTCCAACTTTGTTTGTTCACGTCAGTACTGACATGTTGACATGTTGATACTTAAGAAGCTCTGTGGATGCAAAGATGTTTACTTAAGATATGTCAGCATGGTTTCCACCAAGCAACTCCACTTGGCTAAATAGAGATGTTTACTTAAGATACATTAGTGCGGTTTCCACCAAGCAATTCCACTTAACTAAATAGAGATGTTTACTTAAGATACATTAGTGCGGTTTCCACCAAGCAATTCCACTTAACTAAATAGAGATGTTTACTTAAGATACATTAGTGCGGTTTCCACCAAGCAATTCCACTTAACTAAATAGAGATGTTTACTTAAGATACATTAGTGCGGTTTCCACCAAGCAATTCCACTTAACTAAATAGAGATGTTTACTTAAGATACATTAGTGCGGTTTCCACCAAGCAATTCCACTTAACTAAATAGAGATGTTTACTTAAGATACATTAGTGCGGTTTCCACCAAGCAATTCCACTTAACTAAATAGAGATGTTTCCAAAGCTAATTTCGTTTGATAAACATCAAAGCTAATTACAAGAATTTGATAAATTTGAGAAAAGTGCCTTTACAATCTGATAAAGAAAGTGGGACCATCTTATTGATAGTATTTCTTGAGATTTGCTATGTTCCAGGGCCGAGGTATAGCTCTGCCACTCAGATCCTCGAGGTAGTAGGCTCCATTTCCAACGACGATTGTGACTCTGTAGGGACCTTCCCAGTTTGGCCCAAGTTTGCCCTCGCCAGGCACTCTTTTGTGATCCATAACTTTCCTTAAGACCAGTTCTCCTGGTATAAATTGCCTTGGGTAAACCTTTTGGTTATAACTCTTGATGAGCCGCTACTGATACGCTACAAGTCTGATCAGCGCTGCCTCTCTTTGGCCCTCTGCCATATCCAGTGCTTGTGCAATAGCTTCCTCATTACTGGTGTTCTCAAACAGTTCGGATCGAAGGGTTGGGAGGCCGACTTCGAGTGGGACGACGGCCTCCATTCCATAAGTTAGGGAGTAAGGTGTTTCACCCGTTGAGCGCCGTGCGGTGGTTCGGTATGCCCATAGCACATGGGGTAACTCTTCAACCCATTTCCCTTTGGCATGCTCAAGCCGTTTCTTGACTCCGTTGATGATGGTCTTGTTTGACGCCTCTGCCTGTCCATTGCTTTGCGGGTACCCTGGAGAAGAGTTCATGTACTCAATCCTGAGGTCGGCACAAAACTTTCTAAAGATCTTTCCATCAAACTGTGCTCCATTATCCGCAATCAGTACCCGTGGGATGCTGAAACGCACCACCACATTTCTCATAGCAAACTGCTTTGTATCTGCTTCTTTGATATTTGCCAGTGCCTCAACTTCAACCCACTTAGTGAAATAGTCGGTTGCAGCAATGAAGAATCGCCTGTTCCCAGTGCCTCGCGCCAATGGTCCTATAATATCCAGACCACATTGCGTAAAGGGCCATGGGCTGGTGAGTGGAGTGAGAGTTTTGGCTAGCTAATGGATGAGTGGAACAAATCTCTGACATTTATCACACTTCTGTACGTATTGCTGTGCATCTTTTTGCATCCGTGGCCACCAGTACCCATGAGTGAGGGCTCGGTGTGCCAGTGACCTTCCGCCAACGTGGCATCCACAAATCCCATCGTGAATTTCATAGAGAACATTCTCGATGAGATTTGGATGTACACATAGGAGGTAGGGGCCAAGATAGGAGCGTCTGTAAAGCTTCCCAGATGGTGAGATCTAGAACCGAGCTGACTTGTGTCTGACCTTGTTGGCTTCCCTTTTGTCTTCGGGAAGTGTACCAGATTTTAGAAAAACAAATATTGGATCCATCCAGCTCGGCTCTAAGTTGTTGCAGAGGACTGGAGATGCAATACTTGGTTCTGGCACAAACGCAACCCAAACTCTTCTAGCATCCTTTGTATCCACTGATGAGCCGAGGCATGCCAGAGCATCGGCGTGGCTGTTTTTGTCCCGACTGATTCGTTCTACTCGTATGGATTGAAATTTTCTGAGTAGGTCTTTGGCCTTGCCTGCGTACATAGCCATTCTTTCATCTCGTGTTTCATAGACCCCAGAAAGCTGGTTGACCACTAGTTGTGAATCGCTGAAAATAAGAAACTGTTCTGCACTGAAGTGTTCGGCGCTACGTAAGCCAGCCAATAATGCTTCGTACTCGGCCTCATTGTTTGAAGCCTTCCAACCGAGTTTGAGAGCCTGTTCCCAGATAAACCCTTCTGGTGAAATAAGTACTACTCCTGCCCCCGAGCCTCAGTTATTGGACGATCCATCAACATAGAGCTGCCAAATGTTTCCAATAAAGAGTTTCCAGGCTTCCGAAGCGCAGGGCTTTCCTTGTTCGGTGGTGTATGGCACCTGTGCCAAACTTGGATCCCCCAGTTCGGTACTCTGGGTTGGAGCAAATTTTGCGACAAAATCCGCTAAGACTTGGGCCTTGATCGCTGTCCTGGGGTGATACCGAATGTCAAACTCACCAAGTTCTACTGCCCACTTTGCTGTTCTGCCAGAGAAATCGACTCGGCTGAATACAGATCTGAGGGGAAATTCAGTGAGGACATTAATGGTATGCCCCTGGAAGTGTTGCTGCAGCTTTCTTGAGGCGATAAGTAGCGCGTATGCTAACTTTTCCAACGGTGGATACCGTGTCTCGGCATCTAGTAAAGTCTTGCTGACATAATAGACAGGCCCCTGTTCCTTGTCAACTTCTCGAACTAACACTGCGCTCACGGCATGATCTGAGACTGCTAGATAGAGGTACAGCTCTTCTCCCGGCTTTGGAGTGGACAGTAGAGGAGGTGTGCTGAGGTATCTTTTGAGACTCTGCAGTGCTTCGGTACATTCGCTACTCTATTCAAATGCCGCCTTTTTCCTCAAAAGCTGAAAGAAGGGCTTTATCCGATCTGAGGATTTGCAAATAAACCGATTCAGTGCGACCGCCATTCCGGCTGGTTTCTGCAGTTCCTTAGCCTTTGTTGGTATTTCAAGATCCTGTATCACTCTGATCTGATCCAGATTCGCTTCAATTCCTCTGTGAGTGACCATGTATCCCAAGAACTTCCATGTTCCTACCCCGAAGGCGCATTTCGAGGTATTGAGGCGAAGCTGGTGGTTTTTTAGGATGCCAAAAACTTCTCTCAAGTCTGCAAGATGGTCTGTAGCGAACTTGCTTTTTACTACCATATCGTCTATATATGCTTCCATGGTTTTTCCCAGTTTGTCCTTGAACATCCATGTAATCATTCGCTGGTAGGTTGCCCTGGCGTTCTTTAGGCCGAATGGCATTACTTTGTAGCAGTAAGTTCCCCTTGGAGTGATAAACGCTGTCTTTTCTTGATCCGAACCGAACAGTGGTATCTGATGATAATCGCTATAAGCGTCCAGAAAGCTCATGCGCTCATGCCCTGCTGTTGAGTCCACTAGTTGATCAATGTGAGGCAGCGGAAAGCTATCTTTAGGGCAGGCTTTGTTCAAGCAAGTGAAGTCAACACAAACTCTCCATTTTTTGTTCTTCTTCTTGACTACAACCGTGTTGGACAGCCATTGTGGGTACTGAACTTCCTTGATTGCTCCTGAAGCCAGGAGTTTTTCGACTTCAGCAATTACTGCTTCAGTGTGCTCGACTGACGATCTCTGACTTTTTTGCACAATAGGCTGAGCTGAAGGGTTAATGTTGAGCTTGTGGCAAGCAAATTCTGGGTCCAACCCTGGAGTATCATATGCTGACCATGCGAATACCTCCATATTTTCCCTCAGCAGTTCCAGCAGCTAATGTTTGTCATCAGCGCCTAGCGAGGTACCGATAAGGAAGTATTTTTCTGGGTCATTTTCTTTTACCAGGACTTTCTCTAAATCCTCTACTATCTTTTCCTCTGGGGTTCCCCTTACATCTTCCAAGACTGGCTGTTCGGTCACTTCTACCATCTGTACCCGATTGCAGAGCTGTTTTACCTTTAATGCTGTGATGAAGCAATGTTTGGGCGCAACTTGATCCCTTGAAATCTGCTCTACTCCGTGTTCCGTTGGAAAACGGATGAGCTGGTGATAGGTTAAGAGGACTGCTTCCATTCGATGAATCCACGGATGGCCAAGTATGGCGTTGTAAGGGGATAATGTATTAATAACCAAGAACTCTATCTGGAGGGTTTTTGTCCCCACCACGACTGGCAACACTATTCTGCCAAGCGGCCATTCTGGCTGTGAAGTGAAACTGACCAACGGGGCTGCCACTGGGGTGAGGTGCTGCTCGGAGACACCAAGCTTTCTGAATAAATCGTAATACAGTATGTCTGTTGTACTGCCCTGATCTACTAGGACTCGTTTTACGTCAAATCGTTTTCCAATTCCCACAGTTATAATTAATGCATCAGTATGTGGGTGCTGTATGCCTTCTAAGTCTTTGCTAGTAAATGAAACTGTGCACAAGGGGGATTTAGGTACTGTACGTACCTTTTTTGATGCAGGCTTCACTGACATGATCCGCTGAATTTGCGCAGCCTTAGCAATCTCTTCCTTCAGTGCCTCCTCAGATTCCTGAATCGCTGTCCTGTGAATCACATTTATTATCAGCCGAGGTGGATGCTCAATGTTTTCTTCTGGTGGTGGGTTTCCTGGTTCGGTCATTTCCTTATCCTGATCAATGTAATCCCTTAGGTGTCCAGCTGCCACTAGGTCTTCCAAGTATTGCTTCAGTGCCCTGCAGTTCTGAGTCATGTGCCCCCTGTCTTGGCTTGTGTGGAATCGCTCTTGAGATTGTGCAGCCTAGGATCGCTCTCAGCCTCAAGACTCGACCCCTAATTTTCAAACCTTGGACTTAAATTTAGAAAGTTCAAAGGTCAACTACAATGTGAGGCCTGTGTGGCCAGATTCGAAGCAGCCCATGAATCAACGGCAAGAAAAGTCAGGTCTAGAAGATCAAATGTCATCAAAAGAAGCTTGCAAAGCTAGATCAGAAGCACCCCTCAAACTAGGGGCAAAAAATGTCAGATATGCTCGAGGAGCCGAAGATGGATCCTTCAGTAAATCGATACAACAGCCACTCTCCTGGATACAGATGGCTTCAAAACCCTAAAACCATTTGGCATGGACTTGTTACACTTTTACCCTTTGAGAGGCTCGCTGGGCCGAAAACCCGGAAGGGCGACCCAGGCAAAAGTTAGAGCAAGAGAAAAATACAAAAAAAAAGAGCAGAAAGAAATATGCAAAGAAAAGAACAAAAAAGAAAATAAAAAAAAGGAAAAGAAATGAAAAGAATTGAAAAGAAAAGAAGAACAAAGCTCGCAAGGTCGAAAACCCGCAACGGGCGCCTTGGCAAAAGTTAGATGCGCTGCGGTGCCATCCAAACAAGGGGCAACTTTCTGTTGCCATTCAATGCGCCGTGGCGCCGTTCAACCAAGGGGCAACTTTCCGTTGCCATTCAATGCGCCGCGGTGCCGTTCAAACAAGGGGCAACTTTCCGTTGCCATGTAGTTCCCCTCAAGCAAGGGGCAATCTTCCTTCAAATTCGAGGTTGTGCATCTCGAGAGTAGGTTTCGTACTCGTTGAGCAGTGGTCATTTGCAAAAATAGTTTTTGAGAATTTTTACTACGGTTGACTAATCTTCTCGAAAAGTATTCCATTTTTAAAACTGGACCATTTCTTGGACCCAAAAGAGGAAAGTTTTCAGTGCTCACAGCCTAACTTGCATGATTTTAAATCAGAAAATCGAACAAGCGCGTTAATCTAACTCTCATTTTGGTCAAAATTTTTTAGGAGAAAAGTAAAACAAAAATGGTCAAAATGATGAACTAAGGGCACAGTTAAGTCAGGTGTTCTGTCTTTTCCCCTTTGTCAAAATACTTGCCGGAAAGGGCACTCTACTTGTCGGAAAAGGCACCGTATTCGCCAGAAAAGGGCACAACAAAGGGCAGAAAGCTCTCACATCCTCCAAGCAACGAGGTATCAAGCAAAGTGCGAAGCACGAACTAGAATGGGGCAAGATATTCCACTCCATCATCTGGACAGATCTTATCACGTCCAAACTCCCCAGCAAAGCATCATCAACTGATGTTAGCTGCAGATTTGTCACACACCCCGTTGTAGCGCAACCTTTCCGTGGGAGGAATTCACTAGCTATGAGTGAAAGAAAGAGAATCTAGCAGAATGCTAGGGGCACGAGCCCACAATTTGCTGTTCATCCATCAACCACCCGGGGGAGGGATGAAAAATGAGAGATTGAAGAATAGAGAGATGTGCGCTGAGAGAAAAAGTGAGGAAAAGGGTTTTGTGAGAAAATCCGAGCCTGAGGACCGAGTGATGTGAGAATCACAAATGAGAAAAGGGTGGGAAACAATATCCGGAGAAACTGGCTCCTCGCGATCTGAGAGGTCTGTCGTCTTTGTGATACGTCTGTGTGTCGTGTCTTTTGTTTTGTTTGTCTCGATTCCTGCTTTGAGTCGTCCCGAACGTGTCTCGTTGTGTTTAGGTTGTTTACCTTTTTGTCTTTCGTTGTTGAGTTGTTTTGTTGTGTTCAGTCATAGGCTCAATACTTGGTCGAAAGCTCATCTCTGAATTTCAAAAATAAAATCGTTTTGTGCTCAGAGTGCTGTGCCATTCTTCATGATTGTGCAAAACAAGATTCGTTCTTTCGTAAAACCACAGGGTTCAACCCAGGTCACGTCAAAACAATAAAACCAGGACCTATCTGAAGCTATATATGGTTCCGGACTGCAAAGCAAAAGCAAAAGAGGAAAATGTCGGGTATCTGAGTTTGTTTCAACTTCAGTAAGTTCCTAGACTACATTCTGTGTGTACCTCTTCAAGTCTTGCCAAAGCTCCGAAGTATGAGTGTGCCTCTACCTCAAGCTCAAAATCAAGTCTGCTTCAAGCCAAAATGGCAATCGAAGTGCTCCCTCAGAAAACCAGCCCCTGCCAGATGCATCTTGGCAGTGTTTGCAATGAGTTCCTAGGAGACCAACTGCGACGGTGGAAACTAGAGTTCGGACGGCTATTGCCTAGAACGCAAAGGTTCGGAATTTCCGAGACTAAAGTCTGGTTTAAATACCCAGAGGTCTATCCTCGGCTTGAAATCTGTATGGCAGCCCCATAGATTGAGATAGCATGTGAATGCGCCTCGATTCTGGATACTGAATCAACCTAGCCTGTCACCCCGTTGGAGAATAGGGAAAGTTGTGAACATTGCCAGGAAGGAAAGGTAGTAACTGCGGTTTGGAAGTACAATCAAGAAAGTGCAAGGAGAACCCACTCTTTTCAGCTCAAAATGTTTCTGCGGAATTTTCAACTCATGTCTTCGATGTGTAGCTCATCGTCAGTCAGCATGCATGAGGTGTATCATTTTTGGAATATATCGTGACCCCTCCGAGAGGTAAATCAGAGGTTGCGTTTGGAATTTGGTCCACTTAAGGCTTGTATTCCCTTATTCGGTATTTTTGTTTCAAACGGGTGTTGTCACGCGCGTTCCACTGGCATTGTTATGCTCATTCGTTGCATTGTTATGCACATCTATCTAGTATTGTTATGCTCATTCATTGCATTATTATGCACATCTATCTAGCATTGTTATGCTCATTCATTCCATTGTTATGCATATCTATCTAGCATTGTTATACTCATTCCTTGCATTGTTATGCGCATCTATCTAGCATTGTTATGATCATTCGTTGCATTGTTATGCACATTTATCTGGCATCGTATCTGGCATTATTATGCTCATTACTTGCATTGTTATGTACACTTCACCTGCGTCGTTATGCACCTTTTTACTTACAATTGTCATCTTTTCTCCTCTCGCATGCAATGCGTTAGGGCATCTTTGGTTTCGAACATTCGGATGAGTTCCGGTGTTCATTCATCCCTTTTCTCTCTTGCATGTGATATGCTGAGAGGTTTTCTCTTGCGTGTGATACGCTGAGAAATTTCCCTTTTCCCTCTTGCATGTGATATGCTGAGAGGTTTTCTCTTGCGTGTGATACGCTGAGAAATTTCCCTTTTCTCTATTGCATGTGATATGCTGAAAAGTTTTCTCTTGCGTGTGATACGCTGAGAAATTTCCCTTTTCTCTCTTGCATGTGATATGCTGAGAGGTTTTCTCTTGCGTGTGATACGCTGAGAAATTTTCCTTTTCTCTCTTGCTTGTGATATGCGGAGAGGTTTTCTCTTGCGTGTGATACGCTGAGAAATTTTCCTTTTCTCTCTTGCATGTGATATGCCGAGAGGTTTTCTCTTGCGTGCGATACGCTGAGAAATTTATCTTTTCTCTCTTGCATGTGATATGCTGAGAGGTTTTCTCTTGCGTGTGATACGCTGAGAAATTTTCCCTTTTCTCTCTTGCATGTGATATGCTGAGAGGTTTTCTCTTGCGTGTGATACGCTGAGAAATTTATCCTTTCTCGCTTGCATGTGATATGCTGAGAGGTTTTCTCTTGCGTGTGATACGCTGAGAAATTTCCTTTTTCTCTCTTGCGTGTGATACGCTGAGAAATTTATCTTTTCTCTCTTGCATATGATATGCTGAGAGGTTTTCTCTTGCGTGTGATACGCTGAGAAATTTTCCCTTTTCTCTCTTGCATGTGATATTCTGAGAGGTTTTCTCTTGCGTGTGATACGCTGAGAAATTTATCTTTTCTCGCTTGCATGTGATATGCTGAGAGGTTTTCTCTTGCGTGTGATACGCTGAGAAATTTCCTTTTTCCCTCTTGCGTGTGATACGCTGAGAAATTTATCTTTTCTCTCTTGCATATGATATGCTGAGAGGTTTTCTCTTGCGTGTGATACGCTGAGAAATTTGCCTTTCCTCTTTTGCGTGTGATACGCTGAGAGGTTTACCTTCTTCCTCTCCTATGTGTGATACGCAGAGAGATGTTGTGTGTAAGACTCCGGGTATTCTCCGTAGTCGATTTTAGCCTTCTCCGCGGGAGACACAGTGAGGATTGCACGTTTTTCTTACATCCTTCTGCATGAAACGTTTTTAGATTTGTATTCACTTGCTTAAAACTGTTGCATGGTATGCTTCATTACAGCTTTCTTTGCATAATCATAAGTTATGTTCAGCTGCTTGCATTGTCGGTTGCATTTTGCCCCCCTTGCCTGCGGGCATGCCTGCGGGCACGTCACTGTGTTTATCTTGTACGTTTGTCTAAGTCTTCGGCCTTGTCAAAAATGGGTCATCCCTGGGCTTTGACATTCACTCCCGTCACTTATGACTTCCGAGTTCTGTCAAAGAGGGGCAACTGTGGACACCCCATTTTTGACTGACCTTAAGACTCAGACGTCACCGATTGAGCGCTTGGTGATGTTGCATAACGTCCTCGTTCAGAAGTCTCAGAGTCGCGGCCGTGAGCCCTGCCTCCGGACTTCTGAACCCTCTTCTTTGTCTTGCCTCGGTTTGCAAACCAGACTCGG